GTTCTTGCTAGGTAGCGCAAACCTCAAACTGCAGTTGTCGTTTTCCGTCAAACTTCCTATATTTAGCAAGGCATCATAACTAAGTCATTGTTGCTGGAAGAGACGCCATATTGAATTTCACGGATGCTGATGGTGTTTCTCCGTGTTTGCGCGCGTGATTCTGGACCTGATCTCTAGCAGTTAGCAGTAAACCTGAAGCTAAAGATCCCTAATTACTCGCCTCCGGCTCGTGCCGTAAATGTTTTACATCAAGTGAAAACGTATGTAATGTAAACTTTACATACAGATGAGAAGCGGACATTTCCAATAGAAATATATTATTGTGATATATAAAAATATATAAGTGCTACACGATATTGAGGCGTAGCACGACAATTCCATTGGCCGGACAAAACTTCAAAACACATTTGAGTTAAGTTAAGTTTGAGGGATTTTTTGTGAWTTTCTGTTTTCTTCATTCCTAATGCCCTTCCAGTTCGGCTGTTAGTTTGATCCGCGCTCCGACTTAGATCAGCCCGGGAGGCTCTATCAAGTAGGTACTTCAATACTTCGTTGTTTAATACCAGKCCATCAAATATGTTTAATTTTTCAGGGATCTTTTCGATTAGTCGGTCAGAATAGTCATAAAATCGACTTCGTGCGATTAAAACTATTAAATAAACAGCTGTTGAACATTTCAATGTTRTTTTTGAAAATAGTTCACAAAAAGCTTTCTAATTGGTGAAACAAAAAGAAATTCGAATTTTTGCAACTGTCTCMCGATTCTCAAATTTTACAGAACTGGTTCTATATAACAATAGACGCACAACTAGATTTTGGTTGATATATCCTTCTTACCAGTTATTTTGAAGACACGATTTCGGATATCCAAAGTTTGTTAAACTCGAGCTCCACTCGACAAAGCTAGGCTGTCAGGTGAATGTGTGTGTTTCGAAGCAACACAAAACTATATATAGATCTAGTTATTCTGTGACGCTATAATCCACGCACCAATAATTTGTAATTGAAATATGAAAATAAATAAAATAAAAGTTAAATTTAATAGAATTAAAGCTATTAAACATTATTATTAACATTCGAGCCGTATTTTTTCCGTTTTATTTGCCAATTTTTTWAATCGTTTATACTCTTGGATTCTGTTGTTGAATTCTGCTTTATGTGAAAATCGATATCATGTCGTGCTATTTACGTTTTGTACTCAGTACTTGGCACGCGTCTACAAGAAGAACCGAAAAGAGTTACGTTTATCGGGTAAATGGTAAGGCGAAATTACCCCCCCCTCTYCCCGAAATTCGGATGCGAAACTTCAGTGCTAGATAAACTGAATCGACGCAGAGGGAATGTATTCTTTTTCTTAAAGTAACGCCGAATACAAACGAACCGAATGACAGAAAAGAAGCTGGAACGCCTTATTATCCATTGTTTTCAATGCATACGGCTCGTACTTGAAGTACCACGGTTGACCAGAGCCCTTATTGGCGTTTCAAGATTTAAGCTAGTTATTCACTGGCAAATTAAACAAAACAGGTATGGGAGGAACTTCGACAGGAAACTTTTCTTCAATTTTCAGTCTTCTTCAATTTTTAAATCATGGATAATTAATGAGTAGAAACACTACTGAGAAATCATCTCCAAGGAAGAAGTCGAATATAGATCTAAAATGGTCCTCATTTGCATTCAAAAACCTCAACATATTCAATTTTGATTAAACAATTCCAAAATTATWCTATCTCAGGATTAAGAGACCTGGGCTCGGTTGTACGAAGGGTGGCTAGCGCTATCAGACGGATAATCTTATCCAGTTGATAAATTTATTGGATAACAGCATCGTCTTTTCCACTGGATAGCTATAAGGATTTAGCTATCGRATAGCCTGCATGGTTTTGTATTACGTTGGTTATGTTATCTTTAGTGTTTTCGTTTGTCATGGCAGCGTAAGAACTGGGGAGGAGAGAGGGAGAGAAAGTGTTTTTTCCTCTTTGACTGCCCCCACCCCCACGTTCCATTTTTTTAGTTCCGCGCGGCTATTTTTAGAACAAATTTGTCGTAAATCGTTAAAAAAAAAAAAAAAGGAAATCATATTTTATTTATTATATAAGCATTAAATGTCTCAATGGTCTCAAAGTTGAAAGGGGCTTACGAACTACCCTTTTGTTATTTTAGTATTTTTGGTGAAATGTACTGCCGTCCCTCTTAGTAGAGGGCAACYTTTTGGAGACTGTACCGCTTACAAGGACATACCGAACAAATTTGGTGTAAATCGTTTCAAAATGAAGGAAATCATACTTTATATATTTTATAAGCATTAGATTGAGTCTCAACGGTCTCAAAATTGAAAGGAGTTTACGAKCTACTCTTTYGTTAYWTTTGGTGAAATGTACCGCCGTCCCTCTACGGTAACCCCATGTTTGCTTTAATTTCTTGCTGTAGGTGTTGTAGGTGTATCTAAGGCCCCGTCCACACGTATCCGGAAATTTTTGTATCCGCAAATTATTTTTTATGGATACGAGTTGCGTCCACACGTGTCCGGAAATTTTTGTGTCCGTATCCGCAAATTTTACGAAAACGGATACGTGTGGACGGTGAAAACGATTCGAATACGCTGCGCGTGGACGCAAACATTTTCGTATCAGCAAAAAAAAATTTGCGGATACAAAAATTTCCGGATACGTGTGGACGGGGCCTTAGTTACTTATCCATTTCAACGTTCACGCTTTTGGTTTTATATGTTTTGCCTTCGTTTGCACAGTTTATAACACTGGTGATGGATCAATTACCTGAAAGCTACTCYGTCGTTCTTACATGCATGGATCGCTTCTGTTTTAGTTTTATCTTTTTATATTTAACTATTTACAACTGCATCCCACTTCTTCTTGCATCGTCAAGGCGGACAATTCTAGATCTACAAAAATACCGCCTATGTCAAGCCAATTAGCATAGGTTAGCATTTACTTTGTCCTTTTGAAGGCCCTTTTTCGACTGCCCAGCTTGTTCGTCTTACTTGGTTGCTTCTGTTTTATCTTTTTAGATTTAACTATTTACAACTGCATCCCACTTCTTGCGTCGTCAAGGAGGACAATTCTAGATCTGCACTTGAAAAATACCGCTATGCCAAGCGATTAATTGGCTTAGCATTTACTATGTCCTTTTGAAGGCTCTTTCTCGACTGCCCAGCTTGTTCGTCTTAATTGGTTGCTTCTGTTTCATCTTTTTTAGATTTAACTATTTACAACTGCATCCCACTTCTTCTTGCGACTTCAAGGCGGACAATTCTTGATCTGAAAAAATACCGCCTTGTCAAGCTAATTAGGATAGGCTAGCATTTACTTTCTCCTTTTGAAGGGCCATGTTCAACTCCCCAGCTTTTTCGTCTTACATAGGAAACGTCCTAAATGTATTTGGAAAAGTCATGAATCATCAACGATGTATTTGATTAGTCACATGTTCAGGCGAAAGCTGGTGGGTTTCACGAAATACCGGTAAAAAAATTTAATGGCACATTTTTTGTAAAGTTGGACATTCCATGATAATCCACGATATGTAATTAATGTAAGCATTATATAATMAGTCAATCCCACGCCATTCTCTACTTTCACATCCCCATAATCCTTTGCGTCTTTGGGGGGGTAACCAGAGGGTAAAAACCCACTTATTTTGCTGAAGGCTGWTCAGACAATGTTGACTGTACCTTGTTTGGTATCCAAAAATAAAATGAAGAAGTAAAAACAGAAAAAGATAGAAGCTTGAAGACGTTTGAGATAAATTTTAAACATTTTTTCGTAAGTCAATACATTTTTTGTAAGACCAAAACTCTTGATGATCTGTTTACGCAAAAATAACTTGGAATAAACTGATAAGAAGTATTGTACAGATAAAAGCATGCAGGTATAGTATAAATTCAATTAAGAAACCTTTCAATTTGGGACAGTTTTTTGATTGGTTACCCCCCCAAAACGCAATGCTTTATGGGGATGTGAAAGTAGAGAATTGAAAATAAATGTACACCAAGGGAGCAATTCCTGAACGGATTGAAGAACCATTGTAGCTCTCCGGCTCCTGATTGGTTGTATTTTCGATGGCGTGGGATAACATTTTGAGCTTGAGGAAGAACCTGGGTCGAGTTGGCATTGCAGTGCATTGTGGGGCATATTTCAAGATGGCGTCTATTTCGTCTACTAAAACAGCCCCACAATGCATTGTAATGCCAACACTGTAGTGCCAACAACAATGCCGTGAATGGCGCTAATKTTCTTATTACCTACTTACTCTCTGAACGTATGACCCATCAGGCAATTGAYGAAGTCCAGATTCATGACTGAAAAGCAAAGAAAAAAAACCCCTAGATGATGGAGCTGAGCTTGGGGTCCACACAACAAACCAGCCTTACATTTTTACCTGAAGTCTGTGTTACTCGCAGTTGG